AAAAAAAAGATCCAAAAGATGAATTGAAATTGATTAAGATTGAAAATCTAAATGGTTTATGAATGTAATTTCGGAATAAAACATGTATTGCGATTTGTAGTAGTAGTATTAGTAGTAATTATATAATTTGTGTGTAATTTTATTGATGCAATTGATTTGGTTCCGGTGAATGGAACTGTGCTAATTGTGGCTTTTATAGTACTACTGTAATGTATAGTGTGTGCTCGAGTAGAAAAAAAAAGGAGAAAAAAAAAACAAAAACAAAACTGTTGGCTGAAGTGGAGCGTTCGTATGGCGTTTAATTGAAGTTAAGCTTATGAATGCGATGTTTGATGGGAGAGCTCAAAACTCACCTGTTGAGCAGATTTGTGAATGGAACCGGTGGATGCGACCGTGAGATGTTGGCGCAACTCCACTGCTTGCTGTGTATGTTGTGTTATATGACCAAGACCTCCGAACCAACGCACACATACATACATATATACACGTCTTCGTCTGCAACACGCAGTCGTTGCGCGAAGAAGCTCCGTTTTCTCCGCATATCTTCCCGAGATGCGCCAATATTGAATTTGATCTGTGCAAAACTCGCTATCTAATACTTTTCAATTTGTTTTGCAGGTCGTTACGTGGGCAGCAGACCTATAAAGTTGAGAAAGAGCTGCTGGAAGAACCGCAGCATCGACGTGGTCCGCAAAAAGGAGAAAGAGAAGGCGGCGTTGCTGAATCTGCTCGCCTCTAACTCCGGCAGATAACGTCTACACACATACTTTTGTTTTTTTTTTTTTAATTATTATTCTCGTTTATTTCTTGTAATTTTTATAAGACCGATTTTCCACGCTGATACGTTTTTAATTTAAATATAATTAAGTGATAGTTGAAACAAACGAGAGTGTTATTGATGAAACTCTTCGCCGCCGCCACCGCCACCCTCCTCTTCTTCACCGTAATACTGCTCTGTTTTGTACTGCTGTTGCAGGTAATCGATGATGTCCAGCAGCGAATCCTCAGAGTCTTTGATGGGCAGATCACGAGGTTCCGGTGGAAGCAGCTCCTGCTTGTAGCTCAGCGTCGTCCTGGCGCGCCAAATTGGGACGATGCCGCGAGGATTCGACCTATCCTCAACGTCTGCAAATCATCACCAAATGGTATATGGTTTTGACACTCGGAATGCGATTTACCGTCTTCGACGGGTTCCACCAGCTCCTGCACTCCGACGTAATCGAAAGCTGGATCGCGCATGTTTATGTAGAAACCCTGCTGGATCCATTTATCCTCGAAGGCGAAAACCCCGGGACCTTTCGGTAAGTTTCTGTCGAACTGTCCGTGAAACTTGTAACCGCAAGGGTACGTCAGTATTCCGGCACCCTCCATTCTACCGTTCCTCCACACCCCTGCAAACATTACCACTTTTTACACTTGCCAAAATCAATTATCATTTTAACTCGAAGACTTTAAATAACAATGGTAACAATTGTTATCTTATGCATTCCTATTATATCATCGCAAAAGTTCGTTTGCTTGCAAGTATCATTGTAGGTTATCGAAGACACCCTACACTTTCCAATTACATTTCGCATGGAACCGATCAATTCTTCTATAGACGCTTTTCGATTGAGAGTGCGTTCAAATTCAATAGCAAATGTGATTTACAAATGATAGTTACAAAAGAAACATTCATGAACTACTGAAACTTGAAATCGTATTGCTTCGTGTTATGCAATTTCACAAAGTAAGTTGCTTGTAGGCATTGAATGAGTGATTTTACAGAATCTTCCAACAACATAGGTTTTTGATACTGAAGTTACACAAGTCAACATCTACAACTATATAAATTACCGAAGAAGTAATGGATATTAATAATGAGTCTATATCGAAATCCTGACAATCAAATACATGACATTTGAAATACCGACAACCATAATCGCGACAGTATCAAAGGAGTCTCGATGGAGGTTTCTTTATGCTTATGTATTTGTTTATACAATAAGACGTATAGACTAAGAGACTTTGTGGATGTCTATATGAAAAAAAGCTATTGTCGGGAATTCAGTTGTCGGGATTTTAATCTATACCGAGATTAACACGTTAAGGACGGCGCTTTTCGTGGACGCCTATGGACTGAGAGAAACGTCAAATATCTTTTTTAATGATATTGAAGCAATTTATAAGAATTGTGGGAAAAATATTTTGAAATTTTCATAAAGTTGTTACATATTGCGCACAG